CCGTGATGAAAGCTTTCCAATCTAATAAGAGATATTTCCGCGATATGCCCCCTTCCAAAAATGTATGGAATTTATTATTGTTAATAACTATTGTTATAGCAAAAAGCTTATTTCTTGGTGTTACTCTGCAAGGAATGAACCAATCGTGATGAATTCTTTTGTAACGGGCAATGTGTTGAACGTGGGCATTTTGTAAAATGACCGGGCATTGTGTAGAATGCTCGTTCGAAAAGACATTGTGCAACATGTCCGTAACAAGTTTCGGTCAATCTATAAAATATCCGGTGATTATACAGAATACCTAGAGGGTGATAGCCAATGTATTGAAACGCTCTTGTTACATAGATGTGATAGATCAGGTTAGGCCACATATTTAAATCCGGCCGCCGTAAGGCGGCCGGTAACGCTTTCCTGAGGCCGTAGTGTTGTTTAAATAATAACGAAAGCGATGCCGGCCGCCTAACGGCAGCCAAATTTAGGTGTATGGCCTATCTTAACCTATCACATCTATGTATCGTTTTAATAATAATAATAGTAAGTTTAATGCCGAAGAAGCGTGCGTATTAAATAAAATGTCCGGGCCATTTGTGAAATACCTGCCCATTATATACATTGCCTAAAAAAATTGGCAGTTTACATAACGGCCGGTCATTTTACAAAATGCCCACTTTAAACACATTGCCCGTAACACCTTTCACATCTAATAGGAAATATTTCTGCAATGATGCCACTTGCAAAAATTTATGGAATTTCTGACGGGTTACCGCCGGGGGTTTGACGAATGAACGAATGAACAAAGTCAGCTGGATATACGCCTTCCGCAAACCCGACCTAATCAAGATCGCCGACGACTGGGGGTTGGACTCCAGCGGGACAATAGACGAGCTCCGGGTCAGAATCGCCGGACACCAGCGGACCATGCCGGCCAAGGAACCCACTGGCGCCGAAGGCGCCACATCAGCCGCCGGACCATCCAGCCCGCCACCCGACCACCAGGTCTGGGATAGCCTGCGAAAGAGCGGCGTCTCATTCGACGGCAGAGACGCAGACGATTTCCTGGACCGACTGGAAGGTCTACGAGAGGGACTGGCCCTCGCCCGTGACCGCCTGCTCCGGGGCCTGCCTGCCCTCCTGCGAGGCCCAGCCTTCACCTGGTATCTGAATCGACGCCATGCCTGGTCCGATTGGCTCCACTTCGAGAAGGACTTCTACGAGCAGTACCTGCCCGGCCGGGAGCCGGACGATCTGATGGAGAAGATCATCCGCCGGGAACAGCAACCAGGGGAGCCGGCCCAAGACTACATCGCGGCGCTAGAGACCCTTATGCGCTGCCACGGCGGCCTGACCGAGGCCGACCAACTGAACCGGTTGCACTGGAACCTTCGCCCGGAGCACCACCTGTACATACACCGAGAGGACGTCCGCGCCCGGTCGGACCTGTTCCGACTAATCACCGACTACGAGGAGATCCAGCGGCGGCAGAAACCACCGCCACCAGCCGAGAGGCCCAGCCGGGCCCCCCGACACCAGGCAGCCGAAGCGAGCAGCAGCTATGACCGAGAGACCTGCTGCTGGAGATGTGGCCAGCGCGGCCACCTCAGGACCGAATGCCGCCGCCCCGGCCAATTATTCTGCAGTTTCTGCGGGACAGCCGGCTTCCGGACGACCGACTGCCGCTGCCACCCAGCGGGAAACCAATTCGGGGCCGGGCCATCAGGCGCCTGGTCCACGAGTGGCGATACCGCGCCCTCGTTGACACCGAAGCTACCCGCTCGTACATGCGGAGCGACCTGCCCGAGCTATGCCGCAGGAGCGGGGACATCTGGCGACCCCACCAACAGAGCCTACGGGTCGCCGACGGAACCGAGACCATCACGGAACGCGAGATCGAGGTACAGGCCATCATCAACGGCTAACCAGTCCGACACCGCTACGGGGTACTGTCCACTCTCAGCCAGACCATCCCGCTGGGGATGTACGTGCTGGGCCGTATGAGCACCAGCATCCGAATCGGCCCGTGCCAGTGGGACTGCCCAGACACCGCGGAGGCCGTCGAACCGACCGGGCCAACCCGTTACACCCCGGCTCAACAATAGGCCCTGCAACGACTCCTGGACAAAGAACTGCCGAAGTTCCAACACTTGCGTCCCACCACCACCTGGGCCACCCACCGACTTCGTCTGAAGGAGGGAGCCGAACCCGCAAAGCAGCGGTACACACCTCGAAACCCGGCCATGCAAGCTATTATAGACCAGGAGGTCGATAAGATGCTAGCCAACGGCATCATCGAGCCCTCCCGCAGTCCGTGGAGCTCGCCGGTCGTGCTCGTACGCAAAAAGAACGGAGCCTACCGTTTTTGCGTCGACTACCGCCAAGTCAACCAACGAACCGTGAAGGACGCCTACCCGCTGCCGCAGGTACAGGACACGCTGGACAAACTGCGGGAGGCCCGCTTCATCTCCACCCTCGACCTGGCCAACGGCTATTGGCAGGTGCCGCTGGATACCGCCAGCCGGCCCATCACCGCCTTCACCGTCCCCGGGAGGGGGCTTTTCCAGTTCCGAGTCATGTCGTTTGGATTCCACTCCGCACCGAGCATCTTCCAGAGACTACTAGACGAGGTAGTCGGGCCCAGTCTGGCCCCCTGGTGCTTCGCCTACTTGGACGATATCATCGTGCTGGGACACACGTTCCAAAAACACCTCGCCAACCTCAGCGAGGTCTCCGGACGACTCCGCGCCACCGATCTCCGACTCAACCCCGAGAAGTGCTGCTTCGGACGCACCGAGCTAAAGTACCTCGGGCACGTGGTCACCAGCCAAGGGGTCAGGACCGACCCCGACTGCTACAGAAGCGTACCCGCTGGAGATGGGACGCCGAGGAAGATGCCGCATTCCTCGAATTACGGCACCGCCTGGCCACCGCACCGGTCCTTGCATGCCCGGACTTCAACCGGGAGTTCACGCTACAAACAGACGCCAGCAACGAGGGGCTCGGCGCCGTCCTAACCCAGGACTACGACGGCGAGGAGCACGTGGTCGCCTACGCCAGTCGGTCACTCAACCGGGCGGAGATGAACTACTCCACCACGGAGCGGGAGTGTTTGGTCATCGTCTGGGGGATCCAGAAGATGCGCCCCTACTTGGAGGGCTACCACTTCACGGTACTGACCGACCACCAAGCCCTCCGCTGGTTGCAAACACTAGACAGCCCGTCCGGCCGCCTCGCCCGCTGGAGCATGGAGCTCCAGCATTATGACTTTACGGTGCGTTATCGGCGAGGAGAGAACAACCTGGTGGCCGACGCACTGTCCCGCCAGCTAGAGAAGCCCCCGGAAGGGGAAGCGGACGCCGTCAACGGACCGGACCCGTGGTACGACCGGGTCCGACAAGCAGTCGAAGTCGACCCAGGGCGACATCCGGAATACCGCCTGCAAAGTTCTACCGCCACATACCGGACACCACGGGCCTCCACCCCGACCTGGAGTGGAAGGAATGCGCCCCGAAACACCGCCGGAAAGACGTCCTGACGGAGAACCACGACGTACCAACCGCCGGCCACCTAGGCATCCGAAAGACCTACGCCCGACTGGCCCGCCATTACTATTGGCCAGGCATGTTTCGCGACGCCGCCCGCCACGTACGCAGCTGCCCAAGCTGCCTCGCAAACAAAGTGCTGCAGCAGGCCCCAGCCGGCGCCATGCACTCGACACCGACCAGCAGTCCGTGGGAAGTAGTAACCGCCGACCTCGTAGGGCTCCTGCCACGGTCCAGGAGGGGCCATACCACGCTGCTGATGATGCAGGACAAGTTCACCAAGTGGGTCGAACTCCAACCGCTCCGCCAAGCCACCGCGCTAGCCGTCACCAGAGCGTTCCGGGAAAGAATAGTAATGAGGTTCGGCCGCCCACGAATGGTCATCACCGACAACGGCCGCCAATTCGAGAGCCACGACTTCACATCCCGTCTGGCCGCCTACGGAATAGAACACCGCAAGACGCCGCAGTGCAACCCGGTAGAGCGCACCAACCGGGTACTGAAAACAATGATTGCGCAGGCCACGACTACCGGCCACCGAGATTGGGACGAGTGGCTACCAGAGCTAGCCTTTGCGTACAATACCGCGCAACACGAGGCAACCGAACAAACAACGGCCTACTTAAACTTTGGCCGAGAACTGGCCGTCCCAGGAAGCAACCACAACGCCCTCGCCGCCACCGATGACCATCAGGAAACCCTAGCGCGACTCCAGGACGCGCTTACCATGGCACAACGGGCGCTCGGCAAGGCCCAGCAGCCCCGGAAGAAATATTACGACCTGAGGCGGCGAGCCTGGGCCCCCAAAGTTGGAAATCCGGTCATGCGGCGAGAGCACCCGCTATCCTCCGCCGCTGACCACTATAACGCCAAGCTGGCACCGAAATTCTCGGGCCCATACATAGTCGCCGAACGCCTCGGCCCGAACGTGGTACGTCTACGGGAGCAGCGAGGCAAGCTGCGCACGGCGCACATCCAGGACTTCAAGCTGGGCACGCCCCACCACCGACGACAACCAGGTCGCGAGTTGCGAACCGCGAGATGACGTTAAGCAATTCACCACCAGGGGTTAAATCCGCGAGCGCCGATCTCGCGAGGCCGATGACATCGCGACCAAATATATATCAAGCCGCGGGCCCGCAGATCAGTTTGGATCGAGCAGCAAGTATGCCGCAAAAAGACGAACAGATAAGAAAATCAGCCACATCGTTAGGCCGCCGCGATCCGCGGCCGCCCGAGGCTCGACCCCGGATCATCCGGGTCCAGCAGATCAGCGGACCAATCCGCATCGTGGGGCCTCCCCCGCGGATGCAGCCGCCACCGCGCCAGCCGCTCTGGACATCCGAGGCAGACGTCGTCGCTCTGGCCGCACGGCGGCCGGAGCCAACCACAGTCACGGACCGACTACCACCTCCGCAGCGCCTCCGCATCGCCAGGGCTACCCCAGCCGACCGGGCCAGCACCATGGCCAGGGCCAGAACACTGACTACGCGCCCTCGATCGGCCGCACGGCCAGCCAGACCAGCCCGGGCCAGGCCCGCACCGCCAGCCGCAACACCAGCCGCACCGCCGACCACACCGCCGGCCGCACCGCCAGCCGCACTGCCGCCAGCCGCACCGCCGCCAGCCGCACAAGTGGCCGCACCAGCCGGCCCCCCAAGGCTAGCCGGAACACCGCCGCCAGCCGAAACACCGCCGCCACCGGCCGGGACACCACCACTTGCGTGGACGCCGCCGCCGCCCATCACCAGGCTCTCCGGCCGACCCCGCCGCCGAAACAGGCAAACACCCCGCCCGGGCATCCGCCCAACGAGGCCGGTAGCCACCGCCGCAGCCAGCCTGGCCACCGCCGCAACCCCCGCCGCAGCCAGCCTGGCCGCCGGAGGCAGCCAACCCGCCGCCACGACCAGCCGCCCCGCCGACGCACCAGCACCAGAGGCCGTTACCGTTACCACCGGGAGGACGGACGAGGCCGTCCTCTACTGCGAGGGCCTCTCCCAGCAACGGCCCACGCACGTCACCCTCGCCAACGGGATCACGTTGGCTATCGGTCGGCTCCGGACGGGCCGCGTCTGCGTCCGGGCCATCCTCGGGCCCGCACCGCCACAGGCCCCGCCGGGCCCCGACACACCAGCATCCGACGCCGGACCATAAAGTTAAGGCGCTAGCATTAAGCAGGCGTAAGTTTTGTTTATGTACATAGGTTAGTTTTTTTTTTTGTTTCCTTTTTCGTTTTAGGATATAAGTCGTAGTTGTAAGTTTTTGGGATGTGCCCCCCCCCCCCCCCCCCCCCCCCCTATAACACCGTCACCAGTCTCCGCCGGGGATCCCTCCCCTTCAAGGGTTTCGCGGCCTAGGAAGGGAGGGGGAGAGTGTAAGGAGTACGAGGCAGCGAAACCGCAGGCCCCGCCAGCGCGCGCACCGCGAACTCGCGAGGCGGCCGGCCTCGCGAGCATAGATACACCGGGTCGCGAGGCGATACAAGCCAGATCTATCCTCCGAAGCGAGTCTCACGACGAGCGACAACGAGATACGATCAGCTTCATTTTTGGAATCCGAACATTCCTCCAAGAGCGTTCGGCCGGACGGGTTGTGTCTACGGCCGTCCTCCGATACAGTCCGCTGTCTCCTTGGCCACGGCCGAGAAAGTTCTCTCTCGTCGGCTTCCCGACCGCCGGACCGGGCGTATACGTCTCTACGGCGTCCACCGGATCACGATCTTCTTACTGCCTGGGTACAGGGCGGGTTGTTTTTACGGCCGTCCACCCATGAAGGCATCGAACACCCTATCCCGCACATCCCGCTACTTCCGCCGCTCCGAACCGTAGAAACCACGACCGTGCCACGCCGTAACCGTCTCGCGACCGCCGATAATATTACCGTTAGCTTCAAGTACCGCGGCGTAACCGTAGACACAGGGAACCGTAGATATAAGTACCGCATCGCCGTAGCCGTTAAGCCGCTTAAATTGATAGAACCCCAAGGCCGTAGTCTTAAGTTAGTTTGTACTTATAGTTAAGGAAATATAATTATTATTTTACCCACTAACCACCGACTTTTGTTCATTCGTTCGCCTGAACCCCGGACTTACCGGCTGAGCCGGCAAACCCCCGGCGGTAACCCGTTACGAATTCATTATTGTTAATAACCATTGTTGTTGTAATTATCCAATAAGAACGATAAACCACCTCACGGAATCCTACAAATTCTCCTCATTCCACTAAAAAGTGTGCAATAAAATAATTTTTAACAAAAAAAATCCGACTTCGAAATGCACTAAAAAGTGTCAAATAATTTCTATTTCATTTATACCAATATTCCATAGCTATTAATAATATCCACTTAATCGTTAAATAGGATACCAAATTAAATACTTTTCTTCTACTAGGAAGATTCTAGTTCAGGCGTCGGCATCCTATGACAAATGACCCATTTGATAATTTCAAGTAAACAATATTCAACGGGAATCAACATACCCATTGCGGATTAACTATACTGCAGTTCACGAGAGACCACACTTAACTCGCGTAGCTTACTAGATCTAGGGACATTTTTAATGACGTGTGTGATTCCTCTTTACAGCTTGCTTCTTACTTTGCAATCATCTAATTTTTTCTTTGAAAAATAATAGGAATTTCATTGTATCGCGTATCTTTACTATATCATCATCGGTTACCAGTTATCGTACGTCATATATTTCTGTTCACCATTTATATGATCGCAAAGTAAGAAGCAAACTGTAGAAGGGAATCACACACGGTATTAAAAATGTCCGTAGACATAGTGAGCTGCGCGAGTTAAGTATGGTCTCTCGTGAATTGCAGTATACATGTACATCAAAAGTGCTACCAACTTCTGATACAATCGTTAGACAATCCACCCATGTCAGATCTTCCTCTATTCCTTCCGCCCTTCCTTTAAGGGCCTTTTTGTGTTCCATTATCTTTCTTTTGAGTTCCATCGTTTTTATTTTTACTTGCACCATGCTAACTTCTTTTCCCCCTTCTGCAAGCCCTACTGGTTTTGTCTCCTCTACAACTTCTTCTATCCCTAGTATTTTTAAAACTTCCACTGCCTTTTCCTTCATCTCTTCTCTTTATTTTGAGACCTCTGTTTATTATATTTTTCTTTTTCTCTTCTCTTTCTTTTCGCTCTCATTTCTTTTCAAGTTCGCTCAGTCTTTCTCTTAGTTTTTCTTCCCTCTCCTCTTCTTTTCTCTTGCCTATTGATTCTTGAACAGTATTGTTGACTTTTTCCTCTATTTCAGTCCACCTCACGCTTTCTATTCTTCCCCTTTCTAGCTCCTCTACCTTTTTCCTCATCGATTCCATTTTCTTCCCCATTTCTCTGTTCTGTTCTAGCCATTTATCTTCTCTTCTTTTCATATCTGCTTTTAGCTTCTCTAACTCTCCTCTTAGGTCCTTCTTGGAATCCATCTTCTCGATCTTCTCTCCCAATTTCCTGGCAATTCTTTGATTAACTCCTTTATTTCCCCCACTCGCCCTTCTACTTCCTTTCTTTCTTTCTTCCTTTCCGGAGACCTTCGCGTTAGCTTACTCTTTCTAAACGTCCATTCTCTTGTCCCGCTCCTCCCCTCCTCCCCCTCCTTCTTCCCCTACTTTTCCCCCTCCCTCTCCTCTTCACTTCCTGTGTCTCTTTTCCTTTTCCAGATTTTATCTAGGTTCCACATACTCCCTATGCTCTGGCTTCTCTCTCTGATCAGCACCTCCACGTTCGAAGGTCTGCCTCTTCTCCCTTTTTCTTGTTTTCCTGGGTCTTTCTTACACTTTCTTTATTCTGACTGCACCGAAAATCACCGAGCATACACTAGACACGACTAAGCGCAACCGTTACCCAATCGAAACTCGGCTTCAATTAATATATGAAGTAATCTTTTACAATTAATTTCGACTCAATAATAGACCTTTTTGTCCATATATTTAAATAATTCAATTTAATAATCCATATCTTTATTGAATTAATAATCTATTATTATAATTACTGCTATGTCGCCGGGAACTCAGTCCTCTAGGGACCCTTGTGCCATAGCCCTTGTGGGCAGTTCTTAGTGCTGAGGTAGATTGTGAAGGCCGGCCCCCCTAGCAAACCCTAGAAGCTTAGGCGCCTTTGAGCCTCCAGTCCTTTACAACCCCATATCAAGCGGAGAGGGGTCTCATTCTCCTCTCCACATCTCGGGCACCTAGGTCCACGTTCGATACCTACGTTGCATCAGATGTTTCCTCGTGTACTAGTGCCCAGTAATGAGCCCTACGAGTAGATACAATTGGTTCCTACCTAGGCAACTTAAAGTCTTGCCTAGCCGCGTCGATGGCCCTTTAAACAGGGCCTTAGATGCGGCTCCAGGTCTGGTGGGTCCGGCTTCTCGCCCACGCCCTCATCGTTTCCCTTACCGCCCCCCTAGCGACACCTATACGATATGTTGAGTCTGGGCTGGGCCGTCTGGCTCCTTCCCGTGCCAACATATTCGCCTTCTCATTTCCTGGGATACCTGCATGTCCAGGAACCCAGATCAAGTCGACGCGGTTGTTGTTTCCGCCCTGGGCCTCTCCCCACACATTCCTGCTCCGGTTCCCGTATTGGTTTTAGAGCCGTCTGTATACCAGATCAGCCCTACCGGAGTAAGCAGTTCTTCCCGGTTTGCCTCCCACGCTTCTTTGCACGGGATTCTTACCCGGAGCTGTTGTCGAAGTGGTAGGTCGGGTCACACGCGTCTCCCCCTAGCGTCAGGGCCCGCCTGGTTCCCTGAGCTCTCTAAAGATTGACGCGTGGCCCGTTGCCGCCTCCTTCCATTTGCCTGTTAAAAACAGTCTTATGGCTGTGCTTCTGGCCCCGGCTTCTACTACAATCTCTGGTGGTGCCAGATCCATAGTCGGCGTGGTGCGGAAGGCACCAGTTATCCTGAGCAATGTTAGGCGATAGATCTTTTCTAGATTCCTCCTGTTGCAGTGATTCCTCATAGAGGTCCGCCATACAACGGAGGCATATGTTAGTTAGGGTACCATGATTGCAGTGTAAATCCACCTAACCATTCTTGGTTTTAATCCCCACGTTGCTCCAAACATCCTTCTGCAGGCTCAATAGGTTGCAATTGCCTTTTGTGCCTGCTTCTCGATGTGGAGTTTCCAATTTAGCTTCGTATCTAGGGTGACCCCTAGATATTTCGCTGAGGTGAATATACTGATCTTCACCCCGGTCAGTGGGGGGAGCTTGAATTCAAAGCTCCTTTTCTTCGAGAACAGTACCATCTCCATCTTGGTAGGGTTTACCTTGAGCTTGTGTGATAGGCATCATTCTTGCACGAGTGTGAGTGCTTCTTACAGTCTCCTCGCTATATAGTGCCGGTGTTATTTCTGACCGATATGCAGATGTCATCCGCATACCCCTGCACTAGAAAACTGCGACGACAGCCGCGGATCGGCGTCGCGCATCGCGGGCCCCCACCGCGGCGGCATCCCCACTCCCGAGTAATTAGACTATAAGTAGGACCGATCGATGCGCGGATCGATGAGTTGCCTCGGGGCTTCGGCCCCGAGGGGACCTCCTCGGAGGTCCGGACCGGAGCACCAGAGCTCTCGACGCCATGGCTGACCTGGCGAAGAGATCTCTGGCCAACGGGCCGTAGCATCGCACTACGCTACGACCTGGCAGCTCCCCTAGGTCCAGCGGCCGTAGGCGCCTAGCCTCGTCAGTCCCGTGGTTGACCCGGGGTGACCAAGCTAGTGCGCGTTCATAATCTCTGCTGGTGCTTCCGCGGGGATTCCGAACGCTAGCTTACTCGGCACCGCAGTTTGCCTTTGGCAGCCGATTCCGTCCAGCTTTGCGGCGTTACCCAGGGTGGCCAGGATTGGTCGTCGACTCGTTCGCTGTTCGGTTCTACCTCGGCGTACGAAGAGACGAGCCGCGTGAGGCAAGCGGGCAGCAACTCCACCGCAGCGCGAAACACCGCAGCGCGATTGAATAAATACCGTCGGCCCAACCGGGCCAATCCCATCCCGACTCGACCCCTCTTGCGTTTGCGTACGTTTGCATTTGTTTGCGTTCGCGCTCCGTTCAGCGCTTTCACTCCGCGCTCCGACATCGCGCCGTTAGTTGTAAGACCGCGTAGCGATGGCTACGACCTGCGCTAGAATTAAGGCCGCGTACTTTCTGTGACGGACCGGGTTCCGACCGTAGTTCATAAGTCCTGTACATTAGGCTTAAGCTTAGCTCCACGCGTCTAACCACCAGACGATACTTTGATTGTAGCTCCCGAGGCAGGAGAGCGCCGCCCGACCAGCCGGCGAGGGCAGCCGCCGCTAGACGCCCCACTCTTTGACTGAATAAACATTTTATTTTTCTACTAACACCGACTCATTATTTACCGACCTGTTCCCATGCGAACCCTGGCACGGGGAAACCCGCCGCGGTGCGCAACGCCGTGCGCACCGAACCGACCGACCCCGTTACAAAACCTTCCTCGCTGAGCCTACGGAGCAGCCCGTCTACCACTAGGGTCCACAGCAGGGGAGACAAGACTCCCCCTTCCGAGCATCCCCTTGCGATGCGTGCCCTCAACGAAGACCCGCTGGAGGAGGTTATTATAGTCCTGGTTCGTAGCATGTTGTCGATCCAGGTAACCAGACTATCGTCAATATTAAAGCTGCTCGCTGCATCATTCATCACATCGAAGGATGTGCTGTCCAACACCCCTATGTCTATGAACACACTCACGACGGACTCTCCCTGAGATAGGGTTCTCTCATTCTCCCTTACTAGGTGATGGAGCGCCGTCTCCGCGGATTTGCCCGACTAATATGCATGCTGTGAGACATGTATTGGTCTCTTTACCAGTGCATGCTCTCTGACGTGCATATCAACCAACCTTTCTAGCGTTTTTAGCAGAAAGGATGCTGGGCTGATTGGCCTAAAAGATTTCACCGTGTCGTAGCCACTTCTGCCTGGCTTAGGCAGAAATACCACCCTAGTTACTCTCCATTGTTTGGGTACATAGCCCAGTGCTAGGCATGCTCTCTAAATATTGCACAGATGCCTCAGCAGGTCCTCTTTGGTTTCCTGAAGGAGAGTCGGGAAGGTCCCGTCCACACCCGGGCTTTTGTTCCTGCTGAAAGAGTTTATAGCCCATCTTAGCCTGTCCATTGTGACCACCTTGGAGGCCAAGTCCCAGTCCCGTAGGCTGTTCCTGAGAGGTACCCGTTCCTCCGGTACCAGCTCCGAGCCTGGGAAGTGCGATTCCACAAGGTGCCACAAGCGTCTGCGGAGGGTCTACTGTGACGCCTCCATTTGGAAGTTTAAGTCCTTTCGATTTTTGTGGGGACCCTAATACAAATACCTTCCGAAGCCTGGCAACCATCGGTAGGGCGTCGGTCTCTTGGCAAAAGTTTTTCCAGCTCTTTCTTTTGGGTGCGCTGATCAGTTTTTTGTAAGCCTTCTGAGCCTCTTTGTATAAGTCCCATGCTGCTTCAGTGGTTGCCTTCATGGCCTTGTTGAGTAGCTTCCGAGCCCTAGCTCTGAGCTTGTTCAACTCGTTATTCCACCAGGGGACCCTCCTGCTCTCTCTCCTTTGTTTTGCTGGACAGGACCTTTCGTAGGATCTGGTGATCGCGGCATGCAGTCTTGCGACCTCGATCTCGACTCCTTCCGCGGTCCTCGGTCTTACACAGTGCCCTCTGAGCTCCTCCTTCAGCGTCTCACGGTATTGAAACCATAAGGTGGACCTGGGGTTCCTGTATGTTTCCGTAACGCTTAGGTATGTCTCTGTCGTTAGCTTGAACATAATTAGCCTGTGGCTCGGGAGCGTAGCTTCATCATTCACTCGCCAATCTTGTATAGCTTGGGCCGTCTTCATGGAGCCCAGCGTAATATCGAGTACCTCCTGACGCCTGGAGGTGACAAAAGTTGAACTGGAGCCTCTGTTTAGAATCTCCAAGTCCGTGGTTGAGAGGTATTCTAGTTGCGCCTCGCCTCTATTATTAATATTGCTGCTGTCACAGACGATATAGTGCTCGTTCGCTTTGCACCCAACCAATAGTTGCAGTCCTTTGGCCTTGCAGTAGTCTACCAGCTCTCTGAGTTCCCTCGTAGGCGGAGGTACCTCAGAGACGTAAGGCAGGTACGTTGAACAAACCACCAGATTCGCCCCACTACCTCCCGCCCCGGCTGGCAATAGGACTGTTGCCTGGTCTCTTGTGCAGAATCTGCGAGTTTCGTTGCCCGAGCCCTCTTTTCACGAAGACGCATGCCCTGGGAGCGTTCTCCAATGGAAGATGGAGCCTTGTTTCCGATCTAGCTCGCCTACTTGCCCTTGGAATATCCATGGTTCTTGTATTAGGGCTATATCTCTGTACTTGTTTTTGTCTGCGCACTGCGCCGCAAGGCGCCATCGGAGCAGGTCCGTGGCCGCCTTGCAGTGCTGCAAGTTAATCTGCGAGATGGAAAGGCATCTTGCAGTCATTGGGCCTGCAGTGTTGTCTCCTCCCGCGTGTGCCGCGCTGGGACCTAGTGTGCCCTAGAGTCGGGCCATCTATTTCCCCCGGGCTTTTTCGGAGGGGCACCCGAGGCGCCCCCTTTTCCCCAGTCCGTACGGATGCCCGAAGTGATGATCCTTTAGACCCCACTCCGAGTCTCCGACAGGCCAGCCTTGCCCATCGCTTGGGCCTTCAGGGGCCCGCCCCTGGGTCCCTTTCCGGGGGCCCTTGGCTGCCCCTTTCTGTTGCTCGGGTCTTCGGGGCCTTCGGTCTTGGTACTTGGTCCCCGTCACAGGTTTCACCGGGCCCTATTCCCTCCCTGCTGTGTCCGCAGGCTCCCCTTCCCCTGAAGCCTCTGTGGTAGCGGAGGCGACCTCAGTGCCCGCGGACGCGGATGCCGACTCCGCGTCCTGAGCCCCGCTGTCTCCCCAACTCCCAATGGCCTCTGGGGGTTTGGCACTGCCCTCTTTGGTGGTGCCTTCTTTCCCCGCCGGTTCATGACGACCCCCGTCGGGCCGTGCACGGGGCTCCCCAAAGAGCACCCTGTCCAGCCCAACGTGAGCCACGAAGCTCCAGCTTTTAAGGGCCAGAAGGGACTCACCCTCTACTTCGACGACTAGTTGAACTGATCTCGCCTCTTCCTTCCGGTCCCACCCCCTCCACTGTTGGGTGTTGAAACCCGGGTTCTGTCCCTTGGGGCGGCTCAAGATCGTCCCTGTCTCCGCTGGTGGGCCAGGGATGACAGTGATCAATTTGTGCAGCCTTGGTAGGCACTCCCTCAATAATTGAAGAGCTGCGCCTTCCCAGGGCCTCACCCTGACCACTGTAGTCTTCAGCCATTCCCTGGCCATGTTATCTGAACAGGTGACCCATATGATCCCCTGTTCCTGTCTGTTTCCCTCGAAACGTGGAACCTCTTTACCTGCCGTTATTGCATCCAGTTCCGCTTCAAAGGCTCTCAGGACTAGATCCCGCTGCACCGCGGTCAGGGTGGTTTTGGGATAGCCTGAAGGTGCTGTCGCTACCTTCCTACCAGCCGCGAGAGCCTCTCTGTATCCGGACGGGTCAGAGAAGGTCTTACCTCTTTCCGCCTGATGGTCCGGTGGGGCCGGTCGAGTGGGTATTCAGGTATTTTTAATTTTGCGCCGCCTCCGAAAACTTTGAAATGTATTTGGTATCCTATTTAACAATTAAGTAGATATTATAAATAGGTATGGAATATTGGTATAAATGAAATAAAAATTATTTTACACTTTTTAGTGCATTTCGAAGTCGGATTTGTTTTTTGTTAAAAATTATTTTATCAGTATTTGCCTTCTTCTAGCGGAGGCAGCGCGCTGGACTTATTAATTACCAAGTTTGCCTTACCGCAACCAAATCGTTATTGGCAGCATCGTATATTCGGGTATTTTTAATATTGCGCCTCCTCCGAAAAGGTTGCAATGTATTTAGTATCCTATTTAACGATTAAGTAGATTTTATTAATAGTTGTGGAATACTGGTATAAATGAAATAGAAATTATTTTACACATTTTAGTGCATTTCGACGTCGGTTTTTTTTGTTAAAGATTATTTTATCCTTTGAAAAATGATGTTGTTTAATAGTGGTAACTGTTTTTAGTAACGGACATTGAGTGTAAATGTCCATGGGCAGGGATTCGTCCTAATTCACCTTAACCCCTTGCACTATGCTGAAACTCGGAAAAAGCCAGGCCAAACACGGGGCGCCCGAATGGTGGGGATAGCAGCCGAGCGGCGCAGACACAGTGTCGGATTGTGAGTGCGAGAGAGACTAATTCGAAATCTCGATCACAAATCAGACTCGTGATATTCAAGTTTGGCCTAAAATTTTCATCACGAGTCAGACTCGTCAAAATAGTGCAAGGGGTTAATGGACCAAATCTTTTGAAGCAGGGTTTTTGCCTCGATGATGACTAATTCTAGGAGGCCCAACGGGTCGTAGATTTTGGCGATTTCTGAGGAGATGAAACTTAGTAATGTACGTGATGGCCATTTGTGTTTTAACCTCATAAGTGATAGAATCTTCTGAGGATATCCACACAACGCCCAAAGTTTTTAATGTTGAGGATTCGCCGAAATGAAGTTTTTTATTGATCGACTGCTTCGGTAAGTCGTTCGAAAAAGCCTCATGGTTGGTCGCCCACTGCCGAATGTTTAACCCAGCTGATTTTAAGAAACGCGTCAAGTCGTCTCTGAGGAAATTGATGACCTTCGTCATGGTCAAGCTGGGTTAGACAACGGATCGCGAGATATGCAGCAGCCGATAACCTGAAAGTAACAGTTTTGAGTTCGTATGTATGAACCTGATCAATGTCATCGCGCCAAAGGATTCGCTGATATTTTCGATCTTCGTTACGGATAAGGAATTGTCTATACATTTTCTCTATATCTCCAGTGAGAACGTAGCAGTGGGCACGGAATCGGAGAAGGATATATAGCAGGTCTTTTTGGATTTTGGGCCCTGTGTGAAGGGTGTTGTTGAGCGAAACCTCGGTGCTCGTTGCTGCTGAGCCATCGAAAACTACGCGAAGTTTGGTTGTGTCACTGGTGACTTTCTCGACTCCGTGGTGTAGCAAAGGTGTGTTGATCCTCGGGATCCTGCTCCATGTGGCCAAGGTCGAGGTATTCTTCTATAACCGCATGGTATTGTTTCTTTAACGTTGGATTGCGATGCAGTTTCCGTTCTAATGATTATAACCGTTTCAGTGCTTGCGTTCTTGACTCTGCTTGTCGCGTAATATTGCCGTTGAACGGAAGTGCGACGATGTATCGTCCATCGGCGTTCCGTAAAGTGTGCCTCTGAAAATGTGCCTCGCAAATCTTGTCCGAATTCGAGAGATGCTGGATCTGTGGACCTTCCTCGATTTCCCAAAACCGAGTTAGGTCAGATTGGATCGTGACATGAGGCATTTCGAGGAGAAATGGAAAGCGACGGACTTCCCCCGATGACCCATCCGAGTGTCGTCTTTTGCAGGTACAAATCTGGCCCCTTTGGAGGAGACAGATTGATTTGTCCGACGCTTAAGAGAGATAGCGCTGATCCTGCACCGAGTAGCAGGTCAACTGATGCTGGACGGTGAAAGTCCGGGTCCGCTAGTTTGATATTGTTCGGGATAGGCATCTTAGCTCGATTAATGGGTTCACCTGAGATGAGTGACGCAATTCGCGGAATTGTGAGGAATGTTAAAGTGCGCTGATAGTCGCTGACCCTAAAATGTATCGTAGCCGCAACGGTGTATTTCGTGATCTTAGATAACGCGTTGAGAACCCCGATAGAAACGAAGTATTTCCTTCGCGGAATATTGAGTCTTTTCGCGAGATCTTCGGTGTCGTGTATGTGTCAATGAGGGTCTGACAAGGAATGTTTCGTCCTTTTTTGTCCATCACCAAGATCTGAGCGGTGACGAGAAGTTCGTTGTTAATTGCGCTGACAATGAATGCGCTTTGGTGGTTGGCTTCAGGTAGTCCTAGTCAATCGGTCTTTTCTATTTGTGAGTTCGTGGTTCTTGCACGTTTAGCGGGTGTTGGGACTATGCGACTGGATGGTTGCCTTGATTGATGAAGCAATGTGTGGTGGTATTTGTTGTAGATTCGGCATAACATCCTTTTGCACGTTTCGGAATTATGCTCTTGTCGTAAGCAATTTGGGCATAGCGAGACCCTTCGTATGACCGCCGTTCTTGTCTCTACCGATAGCGCATGGAATTTTTCGCACCGCCAAATAACGTGTACTCCGTGACAAACCGGGCATTTCGGGGAGTTCGTGGGTATGGCAGGTGCTGTATAAGGTTTGCGATGGTCCTGGAAACCCTTTGAATTGGTCGCGATTACCAACGCGTGACTGCGCATTGAATACCGCGGAATGGTTAATTTCGTAGATATATTTCGACTAAACTGTCCGGGTAACGTCAATGATTTTTTCTGAGTAGTCGGCCTGCAGTTTGCACGCTTCTCGAGGAAATCGAGGAGATGTGTGCACGGTAGCATCTGCTTGTTCTTTAATGACAACTCCCAATGCCAGGCAGTGTCTGGGCTTATTTTTGACAAGATGATCGAGATGATAATACAATCCCATGATAATGTATTTATTCCGAGGCTTTTTAGCGAGCGGAGGTTTTGACGTACGGTGTTAATTACATCTCTTAATGTTTCTGGAGAGTCGGTCGATAATTTCGGAATTGCTTGAATCGCGTCGCAATGTTTTAAAAGGGCTCTACGTTTGCACTCGAATTTATTTTTTAATAATCGATGGCGTCGGCGTAATTAGCGTCCGTTGTACTTAGTGATTAAATACATGCGGCGGCCTTTCCGGTGAGGGTTGAACGCAAATATTGCAGTTTTTGCACGGGTGTTAGATCTGCGTTCTGATCGATCATGGATGCAAAACTGTCGAAGTAAGAAGTTCAATTTTCAACTTTCCCGTCGAACGTCGGCAAGTGCATCTCCGCTAATTTTATGGCCATCGGGGCCGATACGGACGTCGTGGGTGAATCTGTCGTGCTGCGTCGAGACGAGATGGTCGCGTTTTCTCCCTCGATGAGTGACTTAGCTCGTGCGATGACAGTTACGTAGTCACTGTGAATTTCATATCGACGCGAAGTTTCCGATTCGTCTACTGTCTCTATCTCGAATTGAATGTCGTCGAACCGGACCCAGACATCCTTTAAACCATCCAAATGCGCGCGTAGAAGATCGATGTCGCGTTGTTATAAATTGTCAATGAACTGAGCGAATGTAGTGATGTGCCTGTGTTCGAAAATGTAATTTCTACCGCCTTCACGCGGACCGCGGCAGCACTTAGCAGCGCGACCGGCAGCCACCTTGGATGCCGGTCAGGCCGACCATTCAGCGAGCGTCATGTCAGCGAGAAGAAAGCCAACGGTTCTCGCTGCGACGAAGCCGGTTGAGCGGCCATTATCGTTCTGGTTAACATACAACGAACACGTGCGAACACAGTTTTTCGAAAAGTAAAATTCTCAAGCTCAAGTTCACAAAGTCAAGCTCTCGCGACCGTGCAGCAACGGCCAACGGCTAGCGCGAACTCGCGGGTTCTCTGATAATACAAATCCGCGTAATTAATACAATTACGTGGTGCCACGTGTTACGCTAACACGTGGTTTCATACAGCACGAACTCAAGCTCGAATCCACCGCGACGCGTGTGCGAATATCTCGATCAACGATCATTGTACTTTCGTGCAACGCACAATTTTCTGTATTATACAATCTGTATATAGTGTACATAATTTGTGTGATTGTAAATATACATTTGTGTCTTGTGCAAACTCAAGTACATTCGTTTTCCCGTCTCACTGCTGATCCTACAAAACGAACCGGTCTCGTACAATCTCGAACTCCAACACCTTTTTTTTAACAGCCTGATTATATTGCCACGTTTGCGTCGCAGGACACTGAGGTTGATGCTGTGCGAGGTGGATTGAGTTTGATTTGAGGATTGATCCGTCGTTCTTGGCATTGTGGAATGATATTGAGGAAATGTGACAGGAATTGGCAATAAAACGAGCCTACCGTCGCGAACTGAAGTATCCACAGCGGCTGGTGTCCGTTGCGAAGTCCTGCTTAGGTGATCCTTGATCAGAATGAGACTCTGCGGGATCGCCGAATGATGTTGGTTTGGTGGTTGCTACGTTGTTCACCGGAAGCACCGGTTTTTATCCCAGGACGAGTGAAAACGCTACAGTGAGCCTAGGAGTAATGCTATGACCGATAATGTGGCCCACGACGCTGTCAATGAGTGACAGTGTCGAGATGATTGATTCTTTGGCCGTTAATGTGACACACGACGCTGTCAATGAGTGACAACGTCGAGTTGATTGAACGATTCGCTTTTAATGAAGCGAATGGGTGATGCTGTTAACTTCACTCACCATGAACTTAATGATGTCTCACTGTGACACGTAATTCAGGCGGTGGCACTGAGTGAACTTAGTTTTGTTTGAAGTACTGAACTGCACTGATATCCGGCTCGAAGGACCAATGTTTCGTTAAGTACGCGCCCACGACGAGACTAGCGAATTGCGATAAGATCCAAGTCAACGAGGGTCGTAAATCCTCGTTACGGTTTTGACCGACGCCACGAATCGCGTACTACCCTTTTTTTTTTGTTTAATGGAAGAGGATATGCGTTTACGTACACGCAGGTGATGCCTTGTCGCACTATTCGGCTAGAGGGGCTCGGGCAGTGTGGGACTCATATCGCGGAAATGGATTAAGTGTTAGATTATTTTCTATTACACATTTCTGGGCGATGAGGGCATCGCTGTCACCAGTCCTAGCCGTTTCTGACGCGTTAACGTCCTCTACGGTTAGAACAATTAAAAGATGGAAAAATGTAGATTTAGATTATTTTCCCGTTGAGTTCGTCAGTGTTCTGGGACCCATACGGGTTGCTCCTTGAAACAGTACGTTAGTGTGCGTGGATTTTAAAGTTTGAAAAGGTATTACAGTACGAAATAAATAAACTGGTTAGTGTGCAAAAATATATATATATGTAATTCAAAACTATTGAATTTAGAAACAAAATTTGAGATATTGATATGAAACTTTGGTGAAAGATCTATTGATTAACTGAATTTAGATTTTATAATTGAGATTTACAAGGGTAAAGATGCTTATTTTACTATGTTGTAGTGACTATCGTTTAAATGGAATTCGTTTACATATGAATAGCCTTTGATTAGCAATGAGTCCTGACAAAATGGTTTCCAGCGATTATAATAGAAATTTTTAGGGAACTGCTTCGACCATTAGGAAAAACAAACAAGAAAAATCGGGGGTGTCTACCCGCGAGGGTGCGACCTGAATGAAGAAGGCTCTCACAACCCGAAGGCTTTACAGGTCGACCATCGATTGAACTTCGTAGTCGAAGCAATCATTTCAAAAATTAAACAAAGATACGGATAATATATATATGCGTTATAAACGGTACCTGATTTCGATATTACGGGACGATCTAAAATGAAGAAGACTCTCATAACCCAAAAGGGCTTCTTAAACGGCCCGTTTTGTCTCGTTGAAACCGAATTACAATGCCGTGCTCGAGTAATTGACAGGCTTATCGTGACGATGTTTTATACGACGCGTATGAAAATTCGTTTTGAGATAGATGGTTCGTTGAAAAATGGATGCCTGAGATCTGGAACACCAGGAGGGATGATAGAATTTCTCGTAGCACACGCACTTGTCGCGCACGCAATTGACCGTATTTATTGCGATTTACGATCAAATAAGACGATTACAAGGACATTCACGATTTGAGAATTTGATTAACGACGCAGATGAATTTAATTCGAAATATACACGATCAAATCGGATTAAAACAAAGAAAGAAAAAGATAGTAATTGAAAAGTATGAAAGCTTAACGTGCGCGTCACTGAGTCTTTGCCGCGTATTTGCAATTTCACCCCCGCGACACTCTGCCTACAGATAGGACTTGCCGCGCAGCTAAATTTTCAAAGTACCACGACAACGCTTTCTCTAGACGCACGGGCTCCCGTCACGTACTTACGCGATTGTTCGACGTAGAGTGATCAAAATCGATCGCAATTCTGGCCGGAAGGGCCCGTTGCGAGAACGATGTCCTGCGTGGGGACATCTCGACAAATCATAGCGCGTGACGACAGCGTCACGTGCGTCGCTATTGGTTAATGGCGCCTGCTAGGTGAATTCCTCTAAATCGTGCTTTCTCTCTCTCTTGGTGTTCCGTCTCTGTCTAACGGCTTTTCGGTGGTTCTACACCGTACAATTTTCAGAATATTCGACCTTCATCAATAATTTCAATGTTAGATATAAGAACGATATAATTGACAATCTAATAATTTAAGTCTGAATATGAATGATAAATTGTTAGGGTTTTGAAAGAACGACACAAGTGTTTATACATATACACGTTTACTTAAACTAACATTATTAACCATTAAGTGAAAAGATATAATATGAAAAGAAAAGAAATTGGATCGCAAGAGTACAACAACATGGCGCGCGTGGCGAAGAAGAAGCGGGATATAAGAATAGGGAAAAAAACAAAAGATGCATACAGTCAATGCATCTGCGTAGCTATAAATGTTCCTATAATTGAAGCGTGCCAACCTAGACGCGCCGAACAACCCTTCAATTCTCCCACTTTGTGAGGCGCATGTGCTTTACATAACAGTCGTGGGCTATTTTCTTCAGTCCCTTGGTCATCCCATCTGCTAAGTTTTCATTTGAAGGGACGAACGTTAGGTTGATTAATCCCTCTTCTAACTGCTCTCTTACGATATGATATGCAATATCAATATGCTTCGTCCTACTGTTCTCAATCCTACTCTTGGCAAAGTCAATCGCTGCCCGATTGTCACAGTTAATCTGCAAAGGATTCGAAAAATAATCTGTTAGTTTTAATTCAGACAAAAGCATATTCAGCCATATGGCCTCCTTAACTCCATTCGCCAAGGATACATATTCCGCTTCCATTGTATGATTTCTACTTGACTTCCATTAATGATTTCTACTTGACTGACTTCCACTGTACAACGTTGTCTGCCACCAATGTTATCATCCCCGAAAACCAGTGCCGATCATCAAGGTCACCCACCCAATCGGCGTCACAATGCATCCCGATTTTCGGGCTAACGCCTGTCTTGTATACTATGCCATAGTCTTTGGTTGCACTCAGGTATCTCAAGATATGCTTCACCTGCAGCCAATGCTGCTTACCTGGATTCGAATTATATTGCGATAATTTGGTTACCGCAAACAATATATCGGGTCTCGTATAAAGAGCCAAGAACATTAGAGCTCCAATGAGCTCTCTGTATAGTACACTTTTCATTAATGCTCTCTCCTCCCTCACGGTAGGTGCATCCCTCTTGGACACCCTAAGACCCGGATCCAATGGAGTCGATGCTCTTCTGCAGTCAATCATATTGTATTTCTTCAATATTGCTTCTGTGCATAATCGCTGCGAAAGACGCATGTCACCCACACTGTTGCGTTCCACTTTGACTTCCAACGCTTGACTGATCTCTCCTAAATCTTTGGCTTCATATCTCTCGGTGATGTGCCTTACAGTATCTGTAACTGATTTCAAATCTGGTGCAAAAATAAAAATGTCATCAACATAAACAATTATGATTGTCCAATCCTCTTTCTTGTATACGCAATTTCACGATTGTAATCTTCTGTATCCTTGACCTGTCAAAAAGTCATTCAGTTCCTGATTCCAGCTTCTTCCTGATTGCTTCAAACCATAAATAGGACACAACAACCTAACTACCGTTCCTTCCTTGACTTCATACAACGGTGGTGGTGGTTTCATAAAAATCTCTTCTCTTAGCTCACCATATAGATACGCACACTTGATGTCCACATGTCTAGTGTGCCACCTAAAGGTAACTGCCAACGCTAAAAACAGCCTTATTAAAGAGAAGTTAGCCACTGGTGAGTATGTTTCTGAGTAATCTACTCACTTTTCCTGCGAAAAGTCCTGCGCGACTAGTCTCGCTTTATATCTTGTGATTACTGTATCAGTCTTCAGTTTGAATACCCACCTGCATCCAATACATTTTCTACCTTCGGGTAAGTTCGTTACTTCCCAAGTTCTTCTACTCGTTAGGCTGTCCAGTTCTTCGTTTATTGCATTTTTCCATTCAGCGGCCTGTGGAGAATTCAACGCTTCTTTCAAGCTTTGAGGTTCAACTATTTCAACCAGATTTGCTTCAATGTCGCTATCCTCTATTTCGTTGTCTTCTTCCGGAAGAGAACGTACCTCATCCTCCTGCGCACTCGGTTTTCCCTTGCATCCATATGGATTTCTGATGACCTTTTTGGGCCTTCCTCCCTTCTTGGCTTGAGCAGTGTCATGTGCTCCAACTGTTTCGTCTTCTCTCATCATGTGATCCTGTCCATCAGGCTGTTCCAATCGGATATCCTCTTCAAGGGTTCCTATGTCCCCTCCTGCAATTTCTTCGTCGTCGTCAGACCATACTTGGTTATATCTGTAGCTTTCGACGTCCTTTCTGTAAATCCATCCGTAATCCATCTTATCTTCAGCAAATTTTACGTGCTTTGTAGTGATGACGTCTTGCTTTCGTGGACACCACAGTCTATAACCGCGCATCTGAGTAGCATATCCGACGAATATGCATTCGACGGCTCTGTCATCGAGTTTTCTCCGTCCTTGACTAGGTAGATGAGCATATGCTAAACATCCGAAGATTTTCAGGTGACGCACGCTCGGTTTACGATCCGACCAGAACGTTAGCGGTACTATACCTCCAGTTGCTGAGTGGCCAGTTCTATTCTGAATGTATCCGGCCATTACAACTGCTTCCGCCCAAAATTTTTGTGGTAATCCTGAGGACTTCAGCATGGCTCTCGTCAAGTTCAACAAGGTTCTATTTAACCTTTTGGTTACGCCGTTCATTTGCGGTGTCTCAACGTTGGATCTCTCGTGCTTGATCTCTAGTTGATTAAAGTACGCAGTTAAGTCATTATTGCAATATTCTAACCCATTATCAGTACGAAACCGTTTTATCTTCTTCCCGGTTTGACGCTCTATTCTCGTAATATAATCTGTAACGGCATCCTTCACTTCGTATTTCGTCTTCAAGCATTTCACTGACACCATTCTCAAAAAATCGTCAATGAACGTTATAAAGTATCCACTTCCACCAACGGATTGAACCGGAAGCGGGCCACAAACGTCTGAATGGATCAACTCGCATATATGATTGGTTTGTCTTACCTTTAGACTCTTACAAGGGTGTTTAGTTGCTTTTCCTATGCAACAGGCATCACATGTATATTTATCTAACTTCGTGTTACCTAGTCCAATGACTTGATCCGAGTTTGCCAACTCCTTTATCACGTCGTTGCTCAGATGACCAAAACGTTGATGCCATATCGCTTAATCCTGTATACTCAAGTTGTTTGACTCCACCGTTTCTTCAACAGAAGTCTGGACTTCAGCTCTTATTATGTATAAGTCGTTCTTCCTATAGGCTTCACACATGACTTGCTTTGATAAGGTGTTTCGTATTTTCACCTTTCCTTCTCTGAAAAGTAATTCTTTATTCTTCTTTTCTATCTGAGAAACGGACATTAAATTTTTTCTAAGATTTGGCACAAAATAAACATTATTTAACATTACGTCTTTCTTCTCATTCCCAACAAATGTCTTAAGTATTACATTACCAACTCCCTGTGCATGTAGAACTGCACCTGGTTTATTTTGATCGGCTGCTGTATTTATCACCTGTATATCAGTCTTTTCAAAGTTAGAAAACCATTCTCTTCTCTTGCATAGATGAGTGCTCCCACTATCTAGGATCCACACATCTTCGATGTCAATGTGGTTCAATGAGACTAAGAAAGCATCGTATTTCTTCTTTGATTTTGGTTCAAACTTCCTTTTGTCCTTTTCTAATTTAACTCTACAGTCTTTTGCGATGTGCCCTACTTTCTTGCAGTTAAAACATGTAGTATTTTTTAATCTATTATAATTTTGAACCTTTTGTTCCTCCGCTTCTGTCCTTTTTACAACTTGAAAAGCTTCTTTATGTACAGCATCTTCTTCGCTTTCTCTTGATACTCTTCTATTGTATTCTGCCAATAGAACTCTTTTGATTTCTGTAGATGTAAACTTCTCATCTGGTAAACTAGCCAATGCCATATTTGAATTTTCATAACTGTTTGGAAGACCTGCTAGTAGTACGTACGCCAAATCTTCATCCTTTACCTCTGCACCTGCCTCTGTCAAATTATTAGCCACGATTTTGGCTCTCGATATATAAGCTGACAGATTCGGTATCTTTCATTTGTAAGTGATTAAATTCTCTTTTAAGTTGAAGGATTCTTATCTTAGACTTTGGTTGGTGTACCTGTTCCAATGCCTTCCACGCATCCCGTGCTGTTGCACAATCTTGAATATGGATCTGCTAATCAGGTTCTATACTCAAAGCGATGGCTGCAATAGCTTTATTATCATTGGATGCGAACGCTTTTCTTTCTGCTTCTGTGGCGTTTTCGTTTGGCTCTACAGGTTCCAACACGTGCTCAAGTAGCCCTTTAGCTCGCAATAGCCATTTCATTTCTATTCTCCACGTCCGGTAATTTCTATCAGATAGCTTCGTAATCTGAGAGTCGTTTCGGTTATCCATTTTACTCATTGGTATGAACTTACTTTGCAATTCTGTTTTGCGCTTGACTTTGACCGAACACGAGGGCGCTTTGTAAATTACGTTTCACTTTTTCTATTACGCGCATCTGGGCTCATAACCATTGTTAGGGTTTTGAAAGAACGACACAAGTGTTTATACATATACACGTTTACTTAAACTAACATTATTAACCATTAAGTGAAAAGATATAATACGAAAAGAAAAGAAATTGAATCGCAAGAGTACAACAACATGGCGCGCGTGGCGAAGAAGAAGCGGGATATAAGAATACGGGAAAAAACAAAAGATGCATACAGTCAATGCATCTGCGTAGCTATAAATGTTCCTATAATTGAAGCGTGCCAACCTAGACGCACCGAACAACCCTTCATAAATGTTAAACCTTTATGTATAATTAACAGATTGGCGATCATGAAATATCTAATTAACAATCGGCTCTATCCATAATTATATTGTTCGTAAGAAACCGAACAGCAATACGAATTACGCTGGTAACGCAGCTTGTTTGTACAATTACAATAGCATACGATGACTTAACTGGTAATTCCAGCAGTCTTCAATTATTTGATGTTCATTATGCGAATATTCGTTGTTACGCTCGTAGCGAAATTTGTTCAAGAACGTCCTTTCTATTTGAAATCTACCGTTGGGTCTTAGTTTCAGGCAAATTCTCGGAATTCGATACAATGACTTTTATTGCCCCGTTCGACCCTTCACCTCTAAACAGTCCTCGAACGCTTGATGGGAAAGCACAGAGTCGAGGAGAAAATTGAAATAATGTAGTAGTGATTCATTCCCCTCACGCCCCTTACGCGAGGAGATCCCTAGAACCCGAAGACTTGATAAGGGAACGTGAGGTGGACAAATTTGCAAAATTTTCCGGACGTGACAAAAAGCACAATCAACCGCATCCCAGACAACTTGAAAGAAACTAATTACCCAGATAAGAAACATAAATAAAACATAAATAGCAATAAACAATAAACACAATCAAATTATAGAATGCAACATAAAATCAACGCACAAGACACAACTTGTTAAGATTATTACAGAAACACAGACATTATTAAAAATACTTATAGGGACATTGTACCTTAATACCGTCAAGAATAAAAGAATAAATATACGCAAGAAAGAACCAATCAAGTGTTACGTCCGGATTATTTTTAATAATCCGACCGTGGCTAAGATCTATTTTCATTTTCTTTCTGATAGTTTTGAATAGTTCAACCGTTTAATATACTGAATTTGCGTACCTCGTCCGTGCGCAGCACTTGGAGATAATCCGAGGCGAGGTATACAAAGGAGGCTATAGTTAGTTCTTTTCAAATAATAAGAAGTCAACCTTCCTTAGGACGATTGTCTCGTCGAAACCGCGTAGCAATAAACACATAGAAATTCGAAACCGCTAAGGTTAAGGAAAGGTATTATCAACATCTTTCACCGCGCGGTTAAGCAGTGCGACGCACTTGGAAGTTTCCCAGCCTAACCGCGCAGAACAAGGGAAATACGATTTTCGTTTTACCTCGCAAACGAAATAGATGAATGCAATTAAGAACGAAAGTAATTGGAATTGAACGGAATGAGACTATTTGAATGACTATGAAATGCGAGGGTTTGCGTGACAACCACTGTAGTTTGAAATCGTCGACCGACGTTCAAGAACGTTCGAGAAAGGTCGACTAGGGCAATAAACATCGGCAACGAACATCTGGTAAACGTTAAACGTAAAACGTTTCAAATATATGATATTGTTAATAATTAATATACGCGGGTCTAGTGTTAAGTAAATGCAACAAACCATGCGCAATTATCCGCGATTTAACGATAACAATAAAATATCGATTGCCTTTTATCACGTAAACCGCTGAGACGCGAATAAAGAACGGAATAATTAATAGTAATTCAATTAATAGTCATTCAATACAGTAAACTAAACATCTATCATCATTAGACCTTCTTGATACTGGAACATTATTTATAAAAGCCTCTTTGATTAACGAATTCAAATAAAATCAAGTCGTAATATATTTAGAACATTCCAGAAGTATTAGAATTGCGACGCACAAATTTCGTAGAATAGAGGGGTAGAAAGAAATAGACAACGCTAGACAAAGGCAGCGTGAAAGGTCAAGAAGGGATGATAACTCGGGAAACACGCCTAGACAAACCAATACGCGCGGGCCTTTCCCTTCGACACGTATCCTGATTTGCCAAATGATGGGATACCGATCGCGGGTCTAACCCTGAGACACGATCGCTTGACTGAGGCAAATCACTCTTCGTCGAAAAATCCGTGAGGTACGTGACGGGGAGCCCGTGTTCGCGTCGAGCACTAGTTTTCGCGTGAAAAATTGTAGTGATTAGCTGCCCGGTAAAGTCCTTGTAAAAGGCAGAGTGGCGGGACATTGCGATTCTCCGCGTTAAGGACTCATACGAATACGTTAAATTCTTTCACACTTTTCAATTTCTATCTTTTCTTTTTCAATTTTAAATCGGTCGATAATTATATTTTCTTTTTCCGCGTCGCGTCGTTTTTGAAATTAGTTTTCGTATCGTCTCGTAACCGTAACACCGAATAATCGAAGGCCGATCGCGAACGCGTAGTGCGTGTGACAAGTTTCTCATCTTTTCTTCGCCTTCCAGATTTCCAGACAACACCAGCGAATTATAAGCGAATCTGTAGATATTTTATCATACATTATTATAACATCGAGCTCGGTAAGTTGTCTATTTCATTCTATTCAATACGACGAATCTGGTTGATTGTGATGTAAAACGGGCGATCTACGGGACTGCGTGTCCTGGAAATTTCCTACTGAATCGTCCCGTTCATTATCGCGTTTCAAGGTATCAAATATATCAATTTCTTGTAAAAATTCCGATCATACAGAAGAGACACGGCCCACGAGACCGTGGTCTTGATAGTTTCCCCCTGGGACCGTTTCCTCTTATCGCGTAATAATTGTTTGTCGAACATCGTCGCTCGAATCATACCGAATCATACCGAATCATACCGAATCATACCGACAAATATCGAATCAAATTCAATTAAATCAAATAGTTCACCTGTTATCTTCCGTTACGAATTTTGTGTCATATTTCAACTCAATAGATCTCACTTTATATTTTTCTTGCTATTACATATATTTCATTTCTTCTTTTCATGTATTTCAAACAGCTCGTACTTTCTGTTAACTAAACCATTTTTATTGTTATACTTATTTTTCTGCAATTATATTTTTGTTATTCTTAATCAGTTTATAATTAATTTGCGTTTAAACACAGTTCCTTCCTACACAATCACGCCTACCATCTACGCACAAATTCACACGAGGGGCCCGTATGTAACCAGGGCATTGACGAACTCAATCAATCTACAGTTTAATCTTACTAACCTTTTTTTAATTGTTTTAATCGAAAGTGATCTAACATCGTCATAAGCAAT